GAATGCAGCGATTACCATTTAAATTCCAGAGAAGGCACCGTTAGAAGATATGTTTTTCTACATTTATTCCAAACAGGAGGCAGGATGAAGGGGACAGCGGTGGCGCTTGGCAGGGAGAGGGATTGAGGGGACAGGCAGTAAATGAATGTTAACACTTTTTAAATTGAAAGTTTTTTCTAAGTACATCTGGTATACAATAGTATATTACTTTCAGGTGTACAATATAGCAATTCGACATGTACACAGCTCAAAATGCAATCATCCCACAAAGTCTGTTCAATTCTTGTCACTGTGCAAATGACAGAGAGAGAGAGAGAGAGAGAGAGAGAGAGAGAGAGAGAGAGAGAGAGATCTATTGTTCCACTTAACCATGCATTCATTGGTTGATTCTTGCATGTGCCCTGACTGGGGTTCGAACCCACAACCTTGGCATATCGGACAACACCCTACTCAACTGAGCTACTTGGCCGGGTCCTCAACCTGGGTTCTTTAAAAGCCTCTAAGTTAGTTTCTGAAAGATGAATCTTTTTAAGTCTAGCACACTTACAGTATCAGAAGTCCAATTTCCTCATTTTCTTGGAATTTTAGGAATATTTGTATAAGTGCTTATTTCTCTGTATGTGCCAATCAGAACAGAGCTCCTTTAATTTAAGAGACTTCACAAAATAATTTGTTAAAGGCTTCCAGAGGCAGGAAAACATTACATACTCACAGAGCATACTGAGTGACACACATGTAGACACAGAGAGCTTAAAGCTTCAATTTTCTACACTGTTATCCCCAGGGCAAGAGCTGTAAGCAATGCACACTAACAAACCAGTTGCCCTGTTGTGTCTCGCTCATTCATTCATTCATTCATTCATTCATTCATTCACAGAGCTCACCAAGTGGTCAGATCATAAACTAAAACCCTAATCATTGCTGCCACTGACGGGCAATCACTTGGCTACAAACCAATCAAAAATGAACACTGAACACAGAGCTAGACCGGCAGTGTGGCGTGACCTCGGCTGTACATTGTCTCTTATTTGACCATGTGTGAAGAAGGGTGATATGCAGTATAAAGTTCTTTTTTCTGCACTTTGGTTATTGACTGCTGGTGCAATAACTTTCCTAAAACTTCACACTTACCTCTTTGCATTCCTGCTCAAGAACCTGCTGTGGCTCCCTCCTGTTACCACGTGAATCCAGTCGATTGTTTCCTCAGCTTCCACGCCAGCCCCTGCCATCTGTCTGAATATGCATGGAAGCCATGGTGCTTTCTGTGTGTCTAACAGCCATTTCAAGCAAGGCCAGGGGTGACCTCTGCTGCGAGTCGGCATCACTGGATGGATTTTAAGGATGACTGGGAATGTCAGTTTCCTGAGGGCAGAGGTTTTGCCTGTTTTGTTCACTATTATGTCCTGACACAGTGCCTGGCACACTGTACAGACTCAGTCAATATATGTCAGAGGAATAAATAAAATGACTCTTGAACCCTCAACTGAGTTTGGAGGAAACGGGCACAGAATGATGGTGAGGTGACTGACTCAGGACCATGGGTTGAGTAATGGAAGGACCAGGATTTTACCTGGGTCCCCAGTTACTTGCCAAGTGGCATATCTGTTTCTTTTCACAGCCCCTTTCCGTATGACTTTCCTGCCACTACCCAGACCCCTGTCAAGGAAGCACTTGCTGGGCAACTGTCGGCTCCGCAGGGTTGACCCCAGCTTTGCAGAGCCACCTTTCCCAAGATTATGCCCTGCCTGTGCCGTCCCACACGGTGACTGAGCTGGGAAGAGGTACGAAGCTGGACATTTCCTCCCAACAGGCCTGTGCTCTGACTGGCAGTGCTTGCTTCAGAGCTGACCACTAGGTCACCAACGTTTTGGGGGCCTGCATCACAGTCCAGCTGTCCCCCGCTTGGGATAACAACAGACTTGGATGTGGACCCTAATGAAGAATTGACATCATGAAGGTACTAATGGTAAAATAACTAATGGAGGCTCAGATTCAAGGTCAGGCCTAAGGGTCCTCAAGGTTGGAAAGGAGCAAAAGGGCACTCATGACGATGAACAGAATCCCCAAATTCAAGGTCAGGTCAGAAGACTATAGGTGGTAGAACGTCATAGACAGACACTGGTTTGAGAACTAACCAGTGGTACACTAATGGGGTAATAGTTAACTAAGGCCCAGCTTCAAGCTCAGAACAGAGAAGCTCTTAATGAAGTACAAAACACAGATTCCAAGTGAGACAAAAAAATGTGGAACAGTTCATGAAGGCCTGGATTTGAGGCAAGACTAGAGTGGCATTGATGGCAGAATGCTTAAGAGTTCCAGATCTGATGTTCAATCAGAAGCACAGTGATGACGGACAAATTAACAGAAGCCCACATTTGACCAATAAGATTATTTTTACTACATGCTCATTATTTATTTCCCTGCAGGTTGTTAATCAAGAAAAGATATCATGAAGATGATTTTAAAACAGGATGTCAACTCTGCCACCTCAGAATTAATTTCACAATGAGAAAACCCATGAAGTCATGTATAACAACATCCATAAGCAGCCATCTTGAATCCAGACTCAATAAAGAACAAGAAGAGTGTGAAGAAAAGAGTGTTAGGAGGTAAATGAAGTTCTCCCAAATGATCTTGCCCATACGCTGACCTTCGTTGAAACTGAGCATCTTTTTGGTGTTGCATACCGGGCAGAAGAGGTAACAGAGCAGGCCTCAACTGCCATCCTTGGGAAGGTCTGCTGCAAGGTTGGCCCTTAGCGGGCATTTGGAAACTTAGACTTCAGAAGGGTTCTCACCATTCTCTCGCTATTCATACAAGCACCGTGGTTTATGCTGGGCTCTTGCTTCCCTTTTGGGAGTCTGGAAGTCGTGTACGTGCCTGGGAGGGGCTGCCTAGGTGACGGGCCACCAATAGAAACACTGTATGCTGAGTCTCTCAAGGAGCTTCCCTCATTGGCAGTTTCCTGTGTTGTCACAACCCAGGACTGGGGAAATTAAGTGTATTCAGTGCAACTCCACTGGGAGAGGATCCCTGGAAGTTTGTGCATGGTCTCCCCCGGACTTCGCCCCATCGGCATTTTCCCCTTGCTGATTGATCTCTGTATCTTTTTGCTGGAGGAAATCATTGCCATATGTACGCCGAGTATGAGAGTCCTTCTAGCAAATCCTTGAGTATGGGGAGTCTTGAGGCCCTCCAACACACATGCACATGTGACCTTGATTGTGAACAGTCCAGCTCTCTGATGGCCCCATCTCATCACCATTTACCTTAAGGTCTCTCAGATGGAAGTACAGTAAGTCCTCACTTAACACTGTCGACAGGTTCTATACTTTAAGTGAAACAACATATAATAAAACCAATTTTACCGTAAGCTAATTGATAGAACTAAGAGTTAAGTTGCTATGTCATTTCATCAACATTATAACAAAACGGCATTGAAAAATATTATTCAAGGACCTGCTGTAGCAGGCAGAAATGCTTTTGGATGAAATAACAAGATGGTCAAATAACAATGGCTTGAAAAAACAAAAGGTTATTTTCCTCCCTCAATAAGACTGCTGGTGTTAGTTTAGCAGCTCAACGATGTTTGGCTAAGTTGGAGTCTCTGTGACTCTGTGGACTGATGCTGAGGTCTCAAGGTGGCGGCCACACTTCCCACTGATGCATCTAGACATGGCAGCCCATCGAGGTGAAGGGAAGGGGGCAGCAGGACCCAGAGGCTCTTTTGACATTTCTGGCAACTTTGACATCTCGTGATGACTCAGGTCATTGACAAGGGATTTTCATCTATCCCGTCTATACTCCAAGCTTTCTCTCCTCATTCAGGGCTCCCCTCAAATATTTAACATCACTTGGTAGCCTCTGAGCAGTTCCAGGTCTTGACTTTAAGCCTTGAGTGGGCGTGATAGAAGGTGTGGGTAGTTTGGGGTTCCCCTGGTGGTGGAGAGAAGCCCCATCCTCTCCACTCCCCAGGCAGAAGCCACTAGCTCGGCTTTTGAGTCCATGGTTGGTCCCACACCGGCATATATTTCAAGTTTTCAGCTCCATGCTTGTGGGCAACAGCCCACTGCACAGACAGATGTGAGGCCCAGGCAGCAGTTGCCCCAGGGCTAGGGGGAGCCCGGGCCTCCCTGAGGCAGCAGAGCCCTGCAAACTCCTAGGATGAAACCTTGTGGAAGAAGCCACCTCAGCTCCTCCACTGCCCCCACCCTGGTGCAGGTCCCTATCATGCTTACTTCAACTATGGCAGGGTCTCCTAACACGTCCTCCTGCTTCTACCTTTGCCCCCCGGTAAGTTTGAGCAGGAATCCTCTGCTCAAAACTGTATGATCACTCACCCCTCACTCAGATAAAAAGCCCAAGTTCTCACCATGGTCCACAGAGCCCTCCAGGATTGGGCCTGGCCAACCTCATCACCTTGCACATCAGCTTCTACAACTGCCCTCCTAGCACACTCCAGCCTCGGTGCCTTTGCACTGACTTTTCTCTCTGCCTAGAATGTTGTTCTCCTCTATGCACTACAGTTCCCTTTCACTACGTTCAGGTCTTTGTTTAAATGTCACAGTCAGGAATGTCTTCCCTGATCACGGCATCAAAAGGAGCTCAGCCTCCCACTCCTGCAACGGTGCCTCCTGTCCTCGCTCTATTTGTCCTTACAACACTCATTCTTAGCTGACCTATTAAATATTTCTGTTATCTACTTGCTTCCATTAGAAAGCAAACCCCAGGAGGACAGGGATTTCTGGCAGTTTAGGTCACAGCTGTACCCCCAGAGACTAGAACAGTTCCTGGCACACAGTAAATACTCAGTAATGTCTGTCCAATGCATGACCATAAAACAAAGTGTTGCCCATGACATGGCAGATATTCAGTAAATGGTTCTTGAATGAAGGAATAAATCAATACATGCACGAGTGAATAAGTGAACCCATTCCCATCTTGGGCCCTATAGCTGCCCTCTCCACTATCCTGCCCTCAGCAGCCCTGGGAGCCAGCCATCGGCACAAGCACAGGAACTTTATTTACAAACACAAGGCTGGAGCATGGGCCAGGTGGGAAGGTGGACATGGCAGGGCCGGGAGGCTCCTACTTCTGCTCGCGCCTCCAGACGATGACCATGCCGCTGGCGTCACTGGAAGCCAGGAGGCTCTCATCACAGTTGAAGCTGACGTCCAGCACGGGGGCGCTGTGGCCCTGCAGCTTGTTGACCGCCGCCTTGGCCGCCCGCTCCACATCAAAGAAGTGTACGCACATATCCTCACTGCCAGTCACTGCCCAGGTGAGAAGGAGAGGTCATCAGGAGGTGTTGCATGAGGTGACGTGAAGTCTCTAAGGTGACTCAGGTGTTGAGGGAGTCATGTCTGAGGTGTGAGGTCCCAGCATGCCTAGGGAGGTCTGGGGGGGGCCCTATCTAGATGGGAGGTTAGCTGGCCATTTTGGTTTTGTGTCTAGAAAGTGAGGTCTCTCAGCTCTCTGGGAGGTATGTTTCTTATACTGTGAGGTTTCTGGGCTGGTTGGGGCTCTGTGTTCAAAGTGGAAGGCTGTTGGGATGTGACAGGTCTCGAGGCCCAGAAGTCAGGGCATCGAGGTGTCACGATACACGAGCCACACCGGCCCCAGTGCCTACTCCTCCCCAGTCACCCAGATACCCCGACCCTATGGGACTCACCCACACAGGCTCCCTGGCGGAAGGACATGAGGGGGCAGAAGATGCTGCGAACAGGGTGCGAGCTCTGCTCAATGGGGAAGCTTCTCTTCAGCTGCAGGGTCCCCTCATTGTCCACCACCCTGAGGGGAGAATGAGAGCAGGTCAGGGCACGGCCTCGGCCCAGAGGGGAATGCATGGTGCGCTGGCCTGTGTCCCCACGCCTGTGCCTGAGTTATTTCCAAGGTTCATGAAATCCAGTTTTGAGACAGCAGCAGAAACCTGTAAAGCGGGGGCTGGTGTGTGGCTTAGTGACAGTTTGGACACTCTACCTATTGATATAAATAGGAAGCCTCTGCAGCGCAATTCACTAGTTTCTCTTCCTAAGGGCCTCTAAGAGCTCTGGTGTTCAGATGCGCACAAAGAGAAGAAAAGGCTAAGCAAACTCTGGCACCCCTGTACCGTGGCTACCCTGCAGCTGTCCAAAGGCATAACCGAAGCTACTGCAGGTGACCTGCATGCAGCGCGTCCATAGCATCCTCTGGTGAGAAAAGTGAGAGGTGGAAAAGGATGTAAAAGGCACCCACTTCTGGAAAACAGTGACTGTCCCTGAGAAATGTGTGGGTGTGTGCATGCTGAGGACTGTGGGGGAGGGAGCAAAGCATGGAACAGTACATATGAAGTTGTTATTATGCTTAACTGTGGCAGGGGCTGGCCAGTGTGGCAGGAATGAGGATGAGAGAAGGCAGAGGACAGAGAAAGAGGCAAGAAACTTAGGAGTCCACTTACATGAAAAATTGTCAGTGTGCGTGTATAAAAAATTTTTTAAAGCAGATGAAGTTAACCTTTTTTAAAAGATTTTATTTATTTATCTTTAGAGGAGAAGGGAAGGAGAGAGGGAGAGAAATATCAATGTATTGTTGCCTCTCGTACGTCCCCTGCTGGGAACTGGCCTGCAACCCAGGCATGTGCCCTGACTGGGAATCGAACCACGGTTGTTTGGTTCACAGGCCTGTGCTCAATCCACTGAGCCACACCAGTCAGGGCTGTGTATAAAAAAATTTCAAAGGGAGGAGAAGAAAAATCAAACAGCAAAATGGCAAGCATCCTGTCAGGCAGCTGTTTTCAGACCTGGCTGGACAACACTTGGGGAACTTTTAATACACCAGTGCCCACCCTGCCCTAGAGCTTCTGAAACCCCCGACCGGGACTGGGGCCTGGTCATGAATTTTGGAGCCCTTCAGGTCATTCCAGCATGTGGCCCAGGCTGAGAACTGCATTTGAGTAACATGACACATGTGAATGGGGACAGTAAACTCTCCGCCTCAAAAAAAAAAAAAAAAAAAAAACAAAACAAAAAGAGAGAAAGAGAGGAAAAGGAAAACGGGTCACTATTGTAAGGAGCCCTAGTCCACTTTATACCTCAGTTTGCTCTTCTGTGAAGCGGTCATGATAACAGCACCCACCTCACAGGGTTGTTATGAGGATTAAATGAGGTGATGTGTATGAGAAGATGTGAATAGGACCAGGCACCAGCAACTGTCACCTAAGTTCCAGCTACTGCTATTACTATTACTGCTACTATTGAGCTCACCACTATATTACGATGATGAGGAGAAGGAGGGGGTGGAAACTGGACCTCTGTACTCAGTAAAATTAACCTGTTGAAGGACACAGGCCTCCCCTCCCACTGATGGAGGTGGCAGGCCCTACACCTCCAGGTGACTGGATTGGGGAGACTGACCTGTAGAGCAGCAGCTTGTTGAGGCAAGCGTTTATGAGCAGTGAGGGGTCCCGGGCCTCTCGGCTGACCCAGGAGCGGGCGGAGATACTAGTCACAGGGCTACCCTCATGCACCACCAGACGCTTGGCTTTGGTCAGCTTCCCTGTAACCATGGAGGGGACAGGAGACAAAAGTAAGGGAGAGGGCTGTATACCAGGAGGGCAGGAGTGCAAGCACTCAAATGAAGGCCTGGGGCCTGCCTACCTGTGGCCATGTCAAAGAGGAAGGAGAAAACACTGCCTCGGTCATCACCCGCCCAGAGCAGCCGGCCAGGGGCATCAAAGGACAGAGCGAGGACGCGGCCTGTGAGCTTGCTGGAGCCACCTTTCACTTTCTTTCCCGTGGAGATGTTCATGACATGTACGTTGTGCTTGGCATTCCCCACCTGTGGGTGAGAACCGCATACCATCATCCTGCTTCCAGCCAGTCCCACCTTGAGTCTGACCACAATGGGATTGCTATTAATGGGACTTGCTTTTCCCTATTGAAATTAAATTACAGTGGGGTCGTGATGGGTAATCTAGAGGTGACTCGGGCCTATAGTCTTCCCAAGCCAGCCCTCCTTGCAATCTAAAGTAGACAGCTGCTATAGGGACTACAGGGGTCACACACCCATAGTGTTGCCCCTCGGCCAGTGCTTCCTGTGCTCAGCAAAGCACAGCGCTATCCCAGACCCCTGATCATAGCTCACCCACTCCCTGGCTGGTCCTTCCTGGAGCCTTGATTCCACTGGGGCTGCTGCTGCTGCCACAACTAAAAGGGTCCCAGAGTACACGACCACTTGGCCAGTTCCCCTCCATTCCCCGCTCAAGGCCAGGCCAGGCTTTTCATTTCCTTCCCCCACTGCCCGCCCTCTGACTCTCTATCCTGGGGTCAGACCTCAGTCGAGCTTCCGCTGAGACGAGACAAGGTTTCCAACTAGTAATCCTACTCCCCAACCAGTAGCCCCTGCAGTTGGAAAATGGTAGGACTGCAGCTGATGGGACCAAAGGAGTGGCAGACCTATGACCCGCCCCCCCACAGGTAGTCACCCCTGTACTCTACCACAGTGAGGCCATCCCAAACTGAGAACTGCATGTCCTCATTCTTACTTGTTTCTCCCTGAGTCTGACTACCAGGGGACTATGGTGATGGACTAGAGGCAACCCCCCTAGACTGAAGTCCTAGAACAGCCCTCCTGGCCCAGCATCCCCGCCCCCCGGTGAGTGGGCGCCCTGGAGCCTGACCACAGTGAGGTTGTTGTTGACTGGCTGGAAGGTGCAGCAGAGCAATTCAGCGCCATCAGGGTCAGGGATCTCCCGGATGCAGCAGCCGTCCTCAGAGGCCCAGATGCGCATGGTAGCATCGAGTGAGGTGGACACGAGGATGTCATTGGAGAGGGACCAGGCGAAATCGGAGACACCGCGGGTGTGGCCCCGCAACACGCGGAGCACAGTGGGCGGAGCGGGCACCAGCTGGCACAGTGAGATGCTACCATCAAGGGAGCAGCAGGCCAGGCGGTGCCGGTCGTCATTGGCGAAGCGCACCCTTGGGACTGCAATGCCAAGGAGCCACTTGTGGGAGTCAGTACACTCACCAAATGCTTTTTGTTTATAAAAGGTCCTGATGTGTGAGCTGAGGGGAGGAACCCACTGCACCAGGCACAGTGGTCTGAACAAAGGGCTTTCCTTCACTGAGAAAGGTAGTTGGAACCCCAGAGCCCTCTGCCAAAAGCTCCCTATATCTTAGCAGGTGCTGTAAGAATCGCAAGAGTTCTGCAGTGTGAAAAGGCCTCCACATCTCAGCCAACACTATACAATTCCCAAGGTCTTAGCAGTTTGCAAGACCTACTCTGTCCTTTGCAAGAGGATTTCTCTGCAGCAAAAGCTTTCAACTTGTTCAAGTGACTTGTGACCCCAGAAGCCCTCTGCAAAAGGACTTTTTAAGATGCTGAACCCCTTTATGGTAAACAAAATACCTGAGATTTCGCAGACAACTTTGTAGAGGGCTTTTAGGTTTGTGAAAGGTTGCATGGATAATTCCTCCTTCAGAGTTGGGCCAGAGACTTTGTGTTCCAGAAAAGGATACACTGGGTGGTTGTCACAATTTGGGAAAATCCATGGTGGTGGGACCTGCTATCTACTGGCTCACCTGCCTCATCCACGTGCTGGTCAAAAACATGGTACATGCCCGCAAAGGCATAGTTCTCACTCAGCGATGTGTCTCCAGCCATGGCTCGACTTGCTTCTGCTGCTGACGTGGGTACCACACTGCCGGGGGGTCTGGACCCCAACAGGAGTAGGAGGTGAGAGGAGGAAGGTACTAGTGTTGCCCCATGGCTCCTCTCCTCCCCTGCTTACAAACCCCCAGCCCCGAGCTGCCCCTGGTGCCTACCTGTCCTCATAGACGGCACGGTTCATCTGTGCCTGCAGCTGGTAGGAGCCGCGGCTGACCGAACGGCGGTGTCCACGGGCCCCCAGGGCCCGAGGATCATCCTCAAAGTCCTGTGAACAGAGAGGGTCAGGGTGGGCACATGTTGGAAACAGCCCTCAAGAACCTACGAGGTCTGGAGCATTCAAATTATATCCAGGACCAGATCCCTTCTCACCCCATCCAGTGCCACCACCATCGCCTGTGTTGTGGTGGCCTCTGCATTAGTTACCCTTCTTCCACTCTTGCCCCTCTCAGTAGATAATAAATGTTCTCTGAAGAAAGAGTGAATGCCTTCCAGAAAACCACGCAGCTCAGTCTCTTGCTTCATTCAAGTCTCAGCTCAATTTTCACTCCTCAGAGAGGATTTCCTTCTTCATACCCATCAAAAATAGCTTCCCTTTGTCCCCTACACCAGTCCTGATTTATTCTCCCAGTCTGCTTTCTTTTTGTATCTTAGCATGCCTCACTATAAGCTATGGTAATTATTGACTTGTTTATTTGGTTTGCTATGTTTATTGACCTATTTATTTTTATTGCATACTTATCACCCTGTTTATCTTGTTTATTGTCCGTTTATTGACTTATCTCATATATTATCTCCTTTTGTCCTCTGCTCATCCTAAGAGTCTAGAACAATGCGTTGCACATAGCAGATGCTTGACAAGTCTGTTGAGTGAATATACATGGAGGCAGGTGGTATGCATGGCAGGTGGTGTGGAGGGAGCTCACCTCCATGCGGTCAAGGGTAGTGCGGCTGCTGCGGACGATGCTGTTGCTATAGGCACGAGCACTGCCTGGCTCGGAGAGAGGCCCGTAGCGCTGGCCCAACAGCTGCCCACGTAACCTCAGGTACTGCCGACGCAGTGCTGGGGGGTGCCCAGCCTTAGCATTCTCCCGCAGTAGCTGGCTGCGCCGTCGGATATACTGTGTCCGAAACTGTGGAAACGTTGGTGTGCGGTACGCGTTGTACCTGTGACGGCAGGAGGCAGGCGAGCAGCAGGCACAGGACAGAGGGAATCAATCAGCTCAGGGGACAGGGAAGGAGAGTGAGGTGTGTGGCATGTAGGGGTCAGGATGGCAAGTGATCAGCAGTGGTGATGGGGGTTCCTCTGGTAATGGGATGAGAGTGTGTCTTCAGTAAGAACAGACATGGAGATGAGGTCAGTATGGGGATGACTGAGGCAGTCTGCAGCTTTGCCTAAGCTGATATGGGGTGACTGAGTCAATGTACACAATAGTAGGGGTCAGTCTGACATGGTGATGGTTAGTGTGGGGTAATGGTGGGGATCAGTATGGGATGGTGATGGGGTCAGACTGGGGAAATAATGGTAGTAAGATTAAGTCCGGCTAGCAATGGTGGGAAATAGGATGTCACCAGCCTGAGCTCCATCACCTCCCCCACCTGCAAAGGTTCTAATAACATTCTTTTTGCGCATACCCACGTATGACTGCATTTTCCCAGCATGCTTTTTAGGACCCTCTCTTGCCAGCTCTTCGATACTGCGCATGCTCAACCCCAGCAGGCTCACGCAGCTGCACAAAGTTCCCCGCCCAGCCTCACTTCTCAACATTGCGCATGCACCACAGTAACTTCCGCTCCCTAGGGATCTGACCCCGCGTCTCACCTCGCGTCTACTGCTAAGACCTGCTGCCACACCGCGGCCATTACCCGGCCTCCTCTTCCGCCGTATCCGCCCGCGGGCGCCTGCAGGATAAGGACCTGGAATGTCAGCGTCTCAGGTTAAGGGATCTAGTTCCACCCCTTCTGCCAGGTGATCATTTCCACAGACATTGAGTCCCTCCACGCTGAAATGTCAACTCCCACCCGGCCGTTAGCATGGTCAACACCCCAGCCCTGCTCCGGCAACTCCCGGAAGGCTCACAGCAGGGATTCCGACCTGACTTCGCCCCTCCCCAGTCACCATAGCAACGCTCCTCCCCCAGCCTAGCAATCCTTGGCTTCCCCCACCCATCTTGCCCCCACCACCCCCCGCCTTCCCTTTTCGGGTCCAAGAACAGGGCCCAGGATCAGGGACCACCTCCGGGGCTGCCTCCGGCTCTTGAGGCCCCCAGGGCGGCCCTGAGACCAATGTCGCCCTTTCCTTCGGTCTCTCCTCTCCCTCTCCCAAGCTCCCGGCAAGATGGCTGCCTGCTGCCAGGAAGAGCTGCCAAGCTTAGAGCGAATGGATGGGAATCTTCCCCATAGCGTGGGAGAACTACGCAGGCGCACCAAGGTACAGTAGCTTTCGTCACCCGGGCGGAGGCTCCACCCCTTAAGTTCAATTCACCCCCTTAGCCCCTAAAGGCACTTGCTGTATACACAAAAATAATGTCCAATGGCCATAGGGACAGGGGCGAGTATGCGAATCACTGAAAATCAGATATACGACTTTCAAAAAAAGAAACATTTCCTTTTAAAGGAGTGGTGTATAAGAGGCTTTTTAGTAGCACGGTCTTGGCCAAGGAAGATTTGAAGCAGAGAATAAAACAATCACACATGCAGAGGGCCCTACAAAGTTCACCAGTTCTTCGAGTAATTGATGGGCCTCCGGACACCCCCAGGATGAGAAGAGTAGGTTCTATGAGGAGAGTGGGAGAGTGTGTGTGTCTGTGTGTGTGTGTACGCGCGCGCGCGCGCGCCCGGTGCCGGATGGGTGTGGCGTTGGGCTTGGTGCTTCCAGGAAACTTGGTATGGGCGTGAATCACTAAATAATTAGGCGCAACAATCCCAAGAGCCTATCTGAATCATCCTTATTTCGACTTCAACAGGAAACCACCTCTCTCTTCATCTTAACGTAGTCAGGATATACAGTTTACAAAGTTGAAATACAGGGTTTAGTAGCTTCCTATTGGATCTTAACGTCAATTGACACAATTCTCGAAACTGTTATTACACTATTTTTATCACAAATACTACAATCTGAAAAATGTTCTAAAGCCACCTGAAATGAGCCACATCCAAAAATGTATTGCCCTTTTTTTGTGTCCTAGTAAAAATAGACCACACTGTGTTTTATGGATTTGGCACCTCCCTTCGTGTCTTTCCAGGATATTAAGTACCCTTCTATTTCATGATTGCTAAGGAATAAACTATTTCACTGCACAAATGCATAACCACTAATATTTATTGGACAATGTGCTGGACACTGTTCAAAGTGATTTATATGTATTAATCTATTTAATCCTGATAACTGAGTGTTTTGGGACCTATGACTATCCCCATTTTATAGACAATGAAATCTGAAGCCCAGAGAGTTGAAGGGTGACATTTTTATTAAACTGGTTCCTTATTTGTGACCAGCATTGGTTTTTTTTTTTCTACATTCATTTCACCATAAAGGGTGCTGTGATCAGTGCCTTTCTCATTCACCTTGACCCTTCCTGGACATAGATTCCTGCCCTTCATCCCACCACTCACCTTCCAAAGACACATGATAGGAAGAAGTCACAGGAAAGTCAGAGAAGCCAGGGAGATTTACTGTCTCACTACCAGAATTGATTCTTTTGTTGTTGTTTTTACAATATCTATATGTTAAAATTCCAAAAACTATTTTTAAAACCTCATTCCTATAAGGCTATAAGATACTAGATAAAACAACCCAATTACAAGGTTGTTATAAATTAACTAATGTATAAAAAGTGTTCATACCCAGGCTGGTGTGGCTCAGATGGTTGAAGTGTTGTCCTGTAAACTGAAAGGTCACAGGTTTGGTTCGATTCCTGGTCAGAGCATGTGCCTAGTTTCCTGGTTTGGTCTGTCCCCAGTTGGGGCCCATACAGGGGGCAACCAATTGATGTTTCTCTCTCACAATGATGTTTCCCTCTCTTTCTCCCTCCCATCCCCTCTTTGTAAAATCAGTAAGCATGTCCTCAGGTGAGGATAAAAAGAAGTGTTTGTAAGACCTGTTTCGTGAATAGTTTGCTATTATTCTGAGAGGTAGTACAGTAATGTGTACAAAGCAGTATACCTTGGCCATTGCCATAGGCTCTGCCAACCTGGAGCTCTGTGTCACTTAACCCTTTTGTGACTCAGTCTTCTCCTCTGAAAACACTGCCTCATAGGGTTATTGGGAGGACTAAATGAGTTAATACTTGTAAAGTTTAGACTAACATCTGGAACAGAGGAAATATTCACTAAGTGTTGACTACTGTTAGATGTTTTAAAAACTTTTCCCATTAATAGATTTATCTGCCAGAGGGAGAGATGGTGCAGAACTAATGTGAATTAGAACGACTGCCCTGGCTGGTGTGGCTCAGTGGATTGAGCACTGGCCAGCGGACTAAAGGGTCACTGGTTCTATTCCCAGTGAGGGCACATGCCTGGGTTGTGGGCCAGGTCCCCAGTAGAGGGTACATGAGAGGCAACCACACACTGATGTTCCTCTCCTTTTCTCTCTCCCTTCCCCTCTGTCTGAAAATAAATAAATAAAATATTTTTTAAAAAATTAAAAAAGGGAATGACCACAGCTGCTTCTTTCATCTGTTATGTGTCCTGCATTTTTTCCAGTTTTTCTTAAGCTTTTACACACTCTCACTGGATTAAAAATAGGATTTGCCCTGGCTGAATGGCTCAGCTGGTTAGAGTGTAGTCCCGTACACCAAAAAAGGTCTCAGGTTTGATCCCCAGTTAGGGCACATACCTAGGTTTCAGTTTCAGTCCTTGGTTGGGGTGCATACAGGAGCAACCAATCGATGTCTCTCTCCCTGTCCCTCTCTCTCCCCCTCTCCCTCCATCCCCCCTTCCTCTCTCAAATCAACAAATATATCCTTGGGTGAAGATTAAAAAGTAGGTTTTGAATAATGAGCTGATGATAGAAGACAACTTTCAGTTCATTGGGAGTTTGGGGAGAAAGGGCAGAAGCGGCAGAGTTTCTCAGCATGAATGGCAAGTCAGTGGGTGGGGAAAGGAAGGTCTCAGGCCTGTGGTATCAATTCATGAGAATCAGTTCCTGGAGGTTGTGAGTGACCTTGATTACCATCTCATGATCTCTGGAAAAGAAGCTCAAGCCCATAGGGGACCAGCGGTCCTATTTACTCTAGTAGGATCAGGGCTGTTTCACTGTCGGAATGACTGTTGAGTGTCCTAGCCAAATGAACAAACTAAAACAGGACAGAAAAGACAGGTAAGCCAGAGCTGTTTGAAAAGAACACCACATCACAATAGTGACTCAAATAGTGGCAGAAACAGGCAGGGCCATGTCTGTCATGGACTCCTTTCTTCATACACCTCCTGCCTATTTGGCCCCCAGAGTTTAGAAATGCAAAGGCGAGCACTGGACCACGTTTCATTACCAACACAGGCTAAAATGAAACCTGAAGTTGGGGCCCATCCTATGAACAAACAGGAGCATGATTTGAGGGAAGCCTGGGTAGCTTGGGGGGGGGGGTGACAAGAATCAAGGCCAGAGAGTAATTGGGGGACATGGAACTGAGGTATAACTGGAGTGCAGATGCCAAGTCCGTACTCACTCATCTCATCCCTGAAGTTTCTTCCTATATGAGACAAGTGGGGCTTGGACATTTTACCATTTCCTACTAGGAAAACATTAGCCTCTGAAGCTACAGTTCTCACAGTCCCCAAAATCTGAATGGTGATAATTCTCCATGGCATGAGTCATAAACAAGGTTCTTGCAGTTAGGAAAAGCCTCACAAACCACTTGAACACCCCCAGCAAACTGAAACAGGGAGTGAGCCTTCCAACACGTAGTGATCAAGCCCCTACTGGGTGTCAGGCACTGGGGCAACAGCAGTAACTCAGACAAATGGTCTCCACTCATGGAGTTGCCCATCTAACTGAAAAGATAAACAATAATGAAGATCATTTAGAATTTGGTACTGTCATTAAAATAGTTCCCTTAGTGTTGCTGAGCTGTGGGATGGGGAGAGGGATGAGAAATAAGTTTAAACTGGAACCAGAATAAAAAGGAGCCAGAGACATATAGCTCTGGATGCTGAATGTGCAGATAAGGCCAGTGAGGCCAGTCAGTGACCAATTCGCAGTGGGGTGGGGAGTCAATTTGTGGAGCTGGAACTGGGGCTGCTCTACTCTTCAGTTTGCAATTCCTTTGACGCAGTGAGAGGTTCAGGGCCAGACTGTGGGCCTATGAAAGACTGGACCCCGGGTTTGGTACTTCAGTCCCAGGTGGTTTAGCGAAATGGGTATAGCCCCTAGTTCTTCCCATTTTTTTTCCTGCTAATACACTGGATTACATCTCATTGCTTTTCAGGTGTTAAGCCACCCTTGCTTTTCTGGGATAAGCCCTGCCTGCTTTTGGTAACAGCCTGCATTTACTGAGCTCTTATACATCCATCAAGGTAATTATCACGGCCACCCTAATGAGGTAGGTGCAACATTGAGCCCCACTTTGAAGATGAGGAAAGTGACCCCTAAAGGGGTTTACTTCCCATGGTCACAGATGTAGAACATTTTAGAACTAGCAGTTGGACCAGGCAGGAAGTAGAACTGGACTAAATTTCTCATCCTGGACATCAGAAACCACATGTTAACCAGCCAGCAGTGTTGACAACAGTGCCCGTTCCTTTCTCTCTTCTCTGCCTGCATCAAGTCCTAAATCAATTTTCTCTCCTGTTTCTCTCCCAACCTCCTGCACTGGTAGATCCACCCTGAAATTCACAATGACCCCCAGCTGCTCTGAGGAGAAGCTGATCTCATAGGCCTCCTCTCCAACTTCAGCCTTTGTTCTTCCTCAATCAGGGTATGTTCCAGCCACACTGACTTAATTGCACATCCTTTGAAAACTGCACAAACTGTTCCTGGGGTCTGGAACACTCTCTTCTGTGTACTCATGCAGTAAACATGTCAACTCACTCCACAGTAATATTACTGATACCAAGCACTTTGTGCCAGGTACTGTTTTAAGCACTTTGCAGACATAGAAAACCTTATTTAATCCTTACAACAGCCCTATGAAATTGGTACAATTATCCTATGTCACAGATGGGGAAATCAAGGCAAACGGTTATGTGCCCAAGAGCCCTCAGTAAGCAATGGAGTTGAACTGCACCCAGGTCACCTGGTTTCAGAATCCTTGTTCTTAATTACTACACTATTTTTAAACCCTCACCTGATTATATATATATATATATATATATATATATATATATATATATATATTTTTTTTTTTTAATTTGAGAAAGAAAAGGGAGAGAGAAACATCAATCATTTGCCTCCTGCTTGCGCCCTGACCGGGGATCAAACCTGCAACCTAGGTATGTGTCCTGACAAGGAATCGAACCCACAACCATTTTGTTGTACGGGATGATGCTCTAACCAAGCCACCTGCGCAGGGCATCACTACACTAACACCAACCGCCAAATTATTCCGTGCGAGCTCCTCTAGTGTGGATTCATAAGAAGTACCTTCTTCCCCCCCACCATCCTCACTTGATCTGTAAGCAGATACTTTCAGTTCCACCTCCAGAATTTATCAAGAATCCGACTCCTCTCCATGTCCACTGCCTCCACCGCCTGGACTACTGCAGTGTCCTCACTGCTTCAGCCCTCACCCCCTCATGTGTCCTCACAGCAGCCAGTGGGTCCTGTGACAGCCCAAGGGAGCCCAAGGCCCTCCTCTGCTCAGACCCATGTGTGGCTCCAGCCTTCTTACAGAAAAAAACGAAGTTCTCCCCATGGCCAGTGAGGCCCCACAGACCAGGCCCCTGTCAGCCCTCCGACCTCATTTCCTGCCCTTTGCCCCTGGCTCTCTCTGCTCCCGCTGCACCGACCTTGTTCCCTCACACACACCAACCACACTCCCACCTCAGGGCCTTTGTACTTGCTTGCTTTTCCTTCTGCTTGTAATTCTTTCCCAGGTTTGGGAGAGGCTGACTGATTTGGCCAGTAAAGAAACCAGTCCTTGTTCCATTCGGGCGTTTGCTACTTACATAGACAGCAAAAGCAAGAATAGTCTCAGATGCCAGCTCATGTTCCTCGTGCGGGTAGCACTGAAATACAAGGGGCAGATGACTACAGCAGGAGTGGTATGGCACCCCGCTGCAGAGCAACTAACTCCAGACTAAACGGTTCTATAGCCTGAAGTGGGGGGTGGGGGGGGGAGGAGAGGGATAGAACACCTCTGCTCTGACCTCATCAGAACCTCGGGCAATGAGAAACTGTCTCATGACAGTTTCTTTGGTAGATGGGGAGGTTAATGAGAGCTGGCCTCAAAGCATTTCCTCATAAGCCTCTAGTGCTCTGTGTTCCCAAGATCACGGAGTGTTCTGCCAATCCTTAGATCAGCTCGCCTACCTGGCTTATGTGGAGACATGCGAGGCAGACAAGAGCACTGTGGTGGAACCATTGTCCTACACCAGATATCCTCCTCGTTCGCTCTCCATCTGCAGGTCTCTATTGTACAAGTCTCCTCCTCTGAGTTGCCTTCCCTGACCGCCTTGCGAAAAATACCACATCCCGTCACTCTCCACCCCCCACTTTATTTTCCTTAATGCTTGACACTAATGTTACCTTATGCACCAATTTACTACTTTATTGTCTGTGGACCCCTCCAATACATGTATGATTCTTGAGGGAAAGAAGTATGTCATATTCTTTGCTGTGTCCCTATTATCTGGCACATACATTACTGGCTACATCTAACTACCAGACACTGTTCCAGATGTTCCCCATGTCTTGACTCATTTAATGGGTATTATACCCCACATTACAGGTGAAGAGACAGGTCTTTTTTTTTTTTTAAAGATTTTATTTATTTATCTTTAGAGGGGAAGGGAAGAAGAGAGGGAGAGAAATATCAATGTATGGTTGCCTCTCATGTGTCCCCTGATGGGAACTGGCCTGCAACCCAGGCATGTGCCCTGACTGGGAATGGAACTGCGATCCTTTGCTTCACAGGCCCGTGCTCAATCCACTGAGCTACACCAGCCAGGGCAAGAGACAGGTTTTTAGAGGCCCTGGATTTTGGAGGAGGGAAGGCAGGACCTCTGGTGCTGGGCAAACAGATGTTCCTTCTGTTTGGAGAAGCCAGAAAGGTCATGATGGGTGGGGAAGAAGGAAGGGGGTTCTAGGGCCATTGTCTGGAAAATATTAATGTAAAAAATATCAGATATCAAGAAATAGCCCTGGCTGGGGTAGCTCAGTGGATTGAGTGTGGGCCTGTGAACCAAAGGATTGCGGTTCAATTCCTAGTCAGGGCACATGCCTGGGTTGCAGGCCAGGTCCCCAGTAGGTTGCCTTCTCTTGACACAAGAGAAGGCAATCACACATTGATATTTCCTTCCCTCTTTCTCGTTCTCTTCCCCCCCCCCTAAAAATAAATAAATATTTAAAAAGAAAGAAATAGAAGATAGCATTTATACGTCACGGTGTCTTGAGGCCCTTGGAATAAAAATGCCTGCAACTACGGAGAGGGCTTTGGGAGACAGGGCAGGCCTTCAGAAAATAAATGACAGCTCCCTACCTCCAATGCCAATGTGGAGGTCCAACAAACCACACCTCAAACAGTTTTCTTTTTAACTTTTTATTATGGAACATCTCAAACTTATACTAGTATTGATAGAATGAACTTTCATGTACCAATCACCTAGATTCAACAATTATAAACAGAGCATTTTTTCAAACTGCAGCCTCCATAGCATATGAATGGTTTCAGTCTAGCTGACTTTGTTAAAGTACAATAAACTAAGAAACATCAGGGAACTTTGCACATCTCATTCATTAAAGCTTTCTTCCACTTACACAAATGGGTGCACTGTACCCCAATGAAGAAAAATGTACTTATTACCATGGACTGCAGTCATAAAGTTAAAAATAGGTCACAAATTCTGTGCTTGGAAAACTAAGAACTAGACAGAGTAAACTTTCAGAGGTGAGTTTTGTTTACAGAAAGTTTAAAATTGAGTTTAAAAATCTGACTTGATGGCATATTAGAAATGTCTACGCAGAACAATGCCATGGCTTTTTTTTTAAATAAGTGTCTTAAGATCTTTTCACTTTAAAAAAAGATTTTAGCCCCGCCTGGTGTGGCTCAGTGGATTGAATGCTAGCCTGTGAACTACTGTCACGGGTTCCATTCCCAGTCAGGGAACACGCCCAGGTTGCAGGCCCAGTCCCTGGTAGGGGACATGCAAGAGGCAACCACACATGGATGTTTCTCTCCTTTTCTCCCTCCCTTCCCCTCTAAAAAATAAATCCTTTTTAAAAAAGATTTTATTTCTAGGGAGAGGGAGGGAAATGTCAGTTGGTTGCCTCACACATGTGCCCCACTGAACCCACAACCCAGGCATACGCCCTGACAGGGAATCAAACTGGCAACCTTTCACTTTGCAGTAAGACACCCAGCTGAGCCACACTGGTCAAGGGATCCACAGATTACGTCTAACAATTTAGAAACCTTAATTTTCTTTGTGTATTCACTCTATGTTGAAGTCCCCCCAGATTCTAGGGAGACTTTCCATAACCACTAACATTTCTTCAGTATATTGTATGTGTATTCTACACTAAGTGGGAAAAAATAAAGATTATAAAAAGCTTCAGGCCAGGCCTGTCACCAAGTAAAAAAAAACCCTTCTGGTTTTCCAGATCTTGGAGCACAATGAATTACAAGGGATCGTGGCCCTTATGTTAGCCCGGGGAGGGGTGGGAGATAGAAGAGGTATGCAGCTGGGCAGGGACCTGACGTGGTTTTTTTTTAAAAAAGATCTTATTTACTTAGAAAGGGAAAGGAAGAAAGTGAGAGAAATAGCAATGTGCCTTGCATACCCCTAACCCGCAACCCAGACATGTACCCTGACCTGGAATTGAACCAGTGACCCCAAGCTGGCACTCAATCCACTGAGCCACACCAGCCAGGGCAGGACCGGGAATATTTTGTTTTGATAAGCAGAGGAGTGATAAGAACACTGGCTACTGATCTTTGTCCAATGTTTTTTTTTTTGACATACCTTAAGTATTCACAGCATTTTTATTTAAAAGGCTAGCTGAAAATTTTCTACACCCCTACACCTACAATGGGGGAAAAGGGTATGGGGTATCAGGGACTCGCCCTGTTCTATACATGTTGCCTTTAACACTCTGGACCCCACCATCAGGTGGGTACTATTCCTTTTATACATGTTGAACCTGAGGCAACAGTGATTCAGTTTGCCTGGGTTGGGAGGGGCAGGGCTTGGGATTTACTCTGGAACTTGAAGTGCAGGGGTTGTCTATAGGATGTTTGTAGATAGCTTTTGGTAAAAGCATGATCCAGGGCTTGAAAAGTATTTGCAGCCCTCACCGGTGGGGCCCAGTCGATTGGAGCGTTGTCCCGTACACCAAAAGGTTGGAGGTTCAATTCCCGGCCAGGGTGGGTATGGGAGGCAACCGATCGATGTCTCTCTAAAATCAATAAACATATTTTAAAAACTCATTTGCAGGCCAGGAATCTGGTCTTCACAGGCCTTGGGATACAGGTTCCCAAGGCAAGTGTTTGGGAGTTTCTGGTTTTGGTGGGTTCTTGGGAAACATGCACATTGGTGAGACCCTGGTTAAACCGAAGCAGAGAACTAACGGGCATTTTTGTCAGGAAATTTTATGTATCAGCAATTTCACTGGCAAAAAATCCTGATTGTTCTCTAGGACCCTTTCCTTAGAGCAAATAAATGAGATTGGGCCTCCCTGGGCTGGACTACAAAGCACCTTAAACCAGGCGAGTAGAACAAACTGATCAAGGTGTCATTCAAGATATAGGAGGCTACTTATGATCTTTATTGATGTCACCTAGGGGATCATTCTGTTGCAGCAACTTTGCAGTTGACTATGGGATTCTGTCCTTAGGCCACACTGGTGGTGAGGACATTTTTACTCCCTTGGGTGCAAGAAGCAGAGAAACCCCTCCTCACAAGGCAGTAATAGTGGTCCACTGCCACGGCTCCCTGAAGGTCCAGCACATAATGCCCTTCTCTGGGCCTTGCTTAGTGGACGAGGCAGGACCACCTGGATGGGAGGAAGGGTTCCCGGGGCCTGTCCCAACTAGCTGGTAGACCTGGAAGGAGGCTGCCAACACTGGTACTCATAATACATGGACGTCTGCTACCAGACTGGGTGGCTTATACACAGAAATTTCTCAGTTCCGAAGGCTGGAAGTTAAAGATACCAGGCTGGTTCAGCTCTGGTGAGGGCCCTCTTCCAGAATGCCTTGTGTCCTCACATGGTGGAGCACAGCAGGGAAGTGAGGTATCTCTAACCTTATGAGGGCCACAACCTCATGACTTCATTTAATCCAAGTTACCCCACAAGGCCTCTCTTCCTAATATCATCATATGGGGGGAGGGTTCCAACACATTTTGAGGGAACATAATCAGGCTATTAATGTTAAGTCTCAGTAGTGAGAAAATAAGGCAGTTTAGGTTGTTTTGAAACTTTTGATCCATTGGTATTTAGCTCAACATCAGCCAGGTGGAAGCCATGGACACAACTGACTAGAAATTTGGGATGAAAGGTTATAAACCCTATGAGACTCCAATGCAGCCACCAGAATCCTGACTAAAGGGAGTAGAATTGAGGAACTCACATGAGAAGCACAAAAATAGACCAGGGCTCTGCCACCACCTTACTGACCCTGTGATGGAGGGTGTGGCCAACTGTTCTCAATGGCTGTATATGCCTCTTAAATGTGTTTCATCCTCAACAGGAAATGCTGACATGTTCAAGACAATGGGACCATAAAGAAACCCAGCTCCACTTATTAGGGGACTTCACCTCAAGCACACCCTACTCTGTTGCACTTGACACATTTTTTTTTTTTATTAAACAAATGGAAGGCAAAGCCCTCTTCCACCAGCAAAAACGTTGTGACTCACTTTATAGCCCTAGTACTGCTGTGGTATAGAATGAACCCACAGTATGTCTATGGTGTGCTTGCATAGACCCAAATAAGTCCCAAACTTTAAATTTTGGCAGTCCCTGCCCACCCCACCCCTCACAACTAATTCTTTGCTCAAAGCCCCTCTTCCCAATGATCTTCCCTATTCTTAAATTACAAACTGGGTTGAGTAAGGATAAAGCACTATCAATATCGATTCATTTTTCAGGTTTCATCTTTTTAATCAGCTCCATGAAGGACATCCTAAATGCTACATGAAAACACAACAGAATATTTTTTCTTCCAGTATTAAAAAAATATGACATTCACAAGTATTTTAAGAAACATCTATATATCAGGTCAGTGATTTCAATAAAAAACACCACCTCTAAGTAATCATGTTCTTGATTTCTTATAGTTACATTTGGAAATTGCTTCCTAAACATGGTAAACACTGTCTAAGAGTTTTTAAAATGTCCCTAAATGCACATGATTTCTGGGGAAAAAGTCTGGTCAAACATCATTATTTTTTTTTTTTCGCCAGATCAATCCTGAAAGCACAAACTAAATGCCTCAGAATTTATCTTGAAACGGGAGAAAAAACTAAAACTAAAAACACACGGAGCTTTCTAAAAGGTCTTCACCAAGCTACCTTGGGAGCTCAATTCAAAAATATGTTTATGTACTAAAACAGATGTTTCAGTGTAGCTCCAAAACTCTATAAATACAGCCATTGGAAGGACGATCCTGGATCAGAAGTTTTATTCCTTGTGTATCTGAGAACAGTAAGAAGAGGAAGAATTGTGATGCCAGGAAGGAACAAGTTGACATGCTCACCTCCTGGGGTTAAGAACACTGAGGACTTCACAAGTACACACCCTCATCTCCATGTCTAGCAGGTTACAGGGGGATAGGTTTTCAGATACCCCTCCCCTATACCCCAGAAGGCAGAATAGCCCTGACAGGCACCTGAGATCAAGGGAAGCCTAGGAATGGTGTCAGGTGGGCCAGGTGACATACATGCAGGCAGGGTAAAGGTGAGGGAACACAACAGGGTCTGTTCAGTGGCAGCCTACAAGCCTCACCTACATTAGGTGCGCATGCCTCATCTCAGTTGTCATAATTGTCTCTGTAATTTCCTCCTGCGTAGCGGTCATAACCACCCTGGCTTCTGGGGAAAAAACAGTTGCAGGAATGTATCAGATATTCCCAGATAATAGTAAAAACCATATTTACATATTTCATCACATTATATATTATAAACTTTAATACTTGTAAAACAGGGCATATGAACATTATGTAGAAATCAGAATGATATGGCTTATAATTTACATCAGATTAAATCATACTAAACTTTACTGCAATAGACAATTAACCAACACAGTACAATATACATCATCACATACTGCAATTACAGTACCTTACAATTTGTCAATGCATTACACATAACTCAAAATATTATACTTAATACTTTTATATTTTCATTACAATTTGTAAGACAAACATTAGTAACAACACAGATATATAAACAAACAAACAAACAAACAAACAAACAAACAAACACCCAAGCAACCCAGTTCTTAAAGAGAAAGGCAGTACCACCAGAATGCTCCAAACTCCTTGGTTACCCACCTGCCGCCATAGTCTCTGGACCTTCCATATCCATAGCCATATCCATATCCTCCAGGTCGACTGTCGTACCTGCCACTCCCATAGCCCTGGTCCCCACCACCTACGACAAACAAAATTATTATTTTAAGTTGCAATTGTCCAGAGACACATCAGTAACAGTGGGCTCTCCCTCAGTCCCTGTGGTCAAACTTACCATTGTACTCACCTCTGGAGTAGCTTCGACCACGCCCACGGGCCCCAAAGGCACCCCCTCTGGTTCCACGGGCGGACTTGCCCGCGTGGTCTACACGGATCTGGCGGCCATCCAGAGACTAAGGTGTGAGGAGACACAAAGAGGACAGCTTGGTGGTCACCCAGGGAAATGGTGAGGAAAGAGTGGGCAGGGCAGGTGGGCAAAAGAGCCCAGAAACTCCTGCTGGGCACCAGATTCTGGGTGCCATGTTCACAACAAGCTCCTTGGACCAGAATGGCCTTATCAGGAGCTACAGAATCCCACAAAATGACCTGAATCCACCGTGTTCCCCTGCTACTACTTACATCTTGACTGATCTCAGGTGAGTTCTCCTCCCCACTCCTCTAAGCTGCCCAACTACAAGGGCTAGACAGACACCTCTCTTGGTTTGAGGCTTCAGAGTCCATCCCAGAAGACTCACGAGGTCCTCTCCGGGCCAGGCCCACAGGTCTGCAGACTCTACTACCTAAGCCCAGGGCAGGTCAAGGTCAACCATCCACGGGTGGCTTCTCGGCCTCATGCAGGACCAGTCGTCGCCTCCCAGGCAGCCCGGCTCTGTCTGCCGCTGCCCTCCACCCCCTAGAACAGAAGGCAGTCACGCTCCTGTGAGTGGGCACCGTGGGGTTTGGTGGCCGCGCTGCCCCTAGCAGACACAGAGGGAAAAACAGAAAGAACAGTGGAAGTGGCAGAGATGGGGGCAGGGCCCTAATGCAGGTAGAAGGCCTCACCTCTCCATTCATGGCTCTCATGGCATCTGAAGCATGCTCTGGATTGGTGAAGGTAATGAAGCCAAAACCTCGGGATCGCTGAGTCTCCCGGTCCTTGACAACGACCACTGGGGAAGAGAGAGAGAGAAGACAGATATGAAGAAAAGGGACAAATATCAGGTGGAGAATGGACCCCTCCCACTAAGCCTCCATGAAAAGTTATCAGATTCTCCAAAGCCTGGGGCCCCCCCCCCGACTTCCTCTAACTGTACCCACCCATTATGAGTCTGGCCCACGTCTCACCCTCAGAAATTGGCCCAAAGCTGCTGAAGTGATCTTCCAGAGCTTGCTCATCGGTGTTGAAGTTGAGCCCTCCAACAAAGAGCTTCCCTTCTTCAGAGGACATGGCAGTGAATTTGAGTCCTATGAGAATGTGAAAAAGGGTGGGAGAACAGTGGGAGGGAGAAAAAGGTTGAAGAAAGGATAAAGAGGAAAGGACACAACAGAAAACAGACACTAAGTAAGGGGAAAACGAAAAGGCAGGACCAAGAAGATGGAAATCCGCGGAGTAGGCTCAGAGAGGTAGCCATTTGAGGGCCTCCTCCGCGCATGCCCACATCCCCTGCCAACACGCCAGTCATTTTGTGACGCCGCGCAGGCCCAGAACACCCACACGTTCACTCAGTTCCCGCAGAACAAGATGGCGGTAGTCACGTGGGAAAAGCACCCCCCCACCCCCACCCCGCAAGTCTCGGCCACCGCATGATCACTCCCGCCACCAATGCCATCAGCCCCTCCTGGCACTCCTGGTGCTCCTGGTGCTTGGGGATAATGTGCCAGCTTCCCACCAAACCCAAGGTTTAACCTCAGAGCACGGTACCCGCCCGCCCCAGAGAAGCCCAACCCTAGGTGTTTGAAGCCGCTTCTCTTCCCACTCGCGCGCATTGCTCAGGAACAGCGCGGCGCACACAAGTGAGGCGAGGAGAGGTTCCTTAAGTCAGACAACGCTTACCTGGAAATTAGGTAGAAGGGTCAGATAGACAGCAACCGTTGAAGAGGAGAGCGACTGAGGAGGTTGGGGCGCGGGAAGAGGCTTAATAAAGTGTACGTATCATACACGTCACGGAACGTCCCCCACGCGCGCCGATTGGCTGAAGCCAGCGAGGGGTGGGGTGGAAGGAAAGGACCGCCGAGCAAAGGAAGCGAAGTGCTCATTATGCTTCTGGAACCAAGACGAGCTTTGTGTGGTCGGTGCAGTATGACATAAGCATCCCTCCGGCCCCAGCCATCTTCATCCCTTATGAGCATGAACCTTTTCTCTCACACATCCCTTTCTGTTCTTGCCCTCACTGCTTTGACGTCATTTTCCTATTGATTCTGACTACTTTTTCAGGATCTCGGTCGTCTTTTTCTAGGTCTCTGATGACATTATCGCCCTCTGATAACCTCCTTCACCTTCTAGCCCCCTAACCTCATATCCTTTGAGGGCCCTATGGTTTATGCCCCAAGGGCCCGATATTTAACCCCCGACTTTCCCTGACCCTTCATAGTTCTTAACATCAGACTCTACATTTTCTCAGTGTCTGATCCGGACCTCTACGTTTTCTTCTGTGTACCTAACATGTAGCCGCCTGTCATGGTACCCTTTTTCCTGGCATCATTCCTTTTCATTTCCGACTTCAGCCCTCATCTTTATCTGACAGCCTTCTGAAGACAGTCTTGATTTCTCCGCTAGTAGACTGCATGAGATGCCTTCCACAAAACTGGATGCCCCAATCTCCAAAGGAAGTAAATCCCAGTCCACAAAACAATTTTTGCTGTCACTCAGGGTTACTGAGCCCTTGATCCACAGAAAGAACTTTGACAGTACACAGTAGACTTATCCAAATCAAGGTGTGCCTGAGTCCACTACCCACAATTTGGTCTTGTGCAGCCTTCAGAGTGTCTTAGCTACCTTTGCAGTGAGTGCATTTGACAGACTTCATTTCTGAGCTGTCCATCCAGGAGGAATGGGTTAGTTGCCCTCAAAGGCTGCATTTCTCATCCATAGAACGGACTTGTGTAATTTTCTAAGGGTCAGCCCCGTCCCCCAAAACACAGACTAGATTTGTTAACTTTCAGAGTACAGTATCCTATGCACCAGGATGGATGTGAACAGATTTCATTGTCCACATACATACTGGTGGTCTTGGATAGCCCTCAGAGAATCTGAGCCTCATGCAAAAACAGGGGGTACTTGTTTGCTTTTCAAAGTGTCTGCCCTCTGATCATATTCCACAGTTTATGGCACATCATTTTTGTTCCATGCAAATCTCCTCATTTTATTCTTTTATTCCTGCACCCGAATATAATTTCTTCCTCCCACAGTTCACCAATTTATTGGGTTTAATGTGTATCTTTTTTGTTATATCATATAAAATCCACATTTTGTCCATGCTTTTAATGAAAGTAAATGGCAGTTATATTTTGGGTTTTTTCCCCAACCAGCATTATGTTAAGATTTCTCTGTGTTGTCATGGGTGCATCTAATCTATCTGTTGCTTCTAATGGTTGCAATAAACTCCAACATGTACATCCACGGCATCATTTTATCCCTGGGTGCTCCCAACAAGAGATACTGGGCTGCCTCCAGCACCCACATTTCAATAAATAGTGCCTTGTAAATGCTCCCTTATGGGCTAGTGTGAAATTTTCTTTTGGATGTGTACTCAGAGAAGAATAAGCTGGGGCATAGGAGATGCACATATTTAATTTTTGTAAGCAGTGCCAGATTGTTATCTGCAATGGATGGAACAATGTATGAAGGTGCTTACATTCCCTTGTCTCTGTCAACACTTAGCATTACCTAGCATTCTAAAATTTTCCAGTTTAGCTCCCACTCCCTCTGCCCATCCTCTCTGCTCCTCTCCTCCCGCTCATTCAGTTGCCCCTCTCTCTTCATTCTCTCCCCCTCTCCTTTCTTTTCCTTCTTTCACTCTTTGTCTCACACACCCCCTTCATTCCTGTCTCCTTTCTGACACTGCACTGGGAAGAATCAATCAATCAATCAATCAATCAATAGAATTTTCAGTCTATCTGGTACAGTCAAATTTCATTATTATTTTTAAAAATATTTATTTATTTATCTTTAGAGGGGAAGGGAAGGAGAGGAGAGAAACATCAATGTATGGTTGCCTCTAGTGCGTCCCCTGCTGGGAACTGGCCTGCAGGGAACTGGCTTGCAACCCAGGCATGTGCCCTGACTGAGAATTGAACCACGATCCTCTGGTTTGCAGACCTGCGCTCAGTCCACTGAGCTACACCAGCCAGGGCTAAATTTCATTGTTTTTTAACTTGTATTTCAAAATGATGGATAATGATTTTGAGTTCTTTTCATGTGCTTGTTTGATTTTGGGTTTCTTCATGAAATTGCTTGTTCATATCTATATTCCTATTAGGCCAGTTCCCATATTCCAATATTTCTTTTCTTGTTGATTTTCAGGGGCCTCTTGGTCCGATTACAAATCCCTTGCTGTAGCCTTTCTTTATTCTTTCATTTTCAACATTTCTAAATTTTTGTATGTGTGTGTACACCGCTGGACCTTTTAAAAAGTCCAATGAGGGAGTCTCTATGCTCTATTTTTGTAATTACTGTTAAAACTTCTAACATCAGCCCTGGCTGGTGTGTCTCAGTGGATTGAACACCGGCCTGTGAACCAAAGGGTCTCTGGTTCAGCTCCCAGATCAGGGCTTATGCCTGGGTTGCAGGCCAGGTACCCAGTAAGGGGTGTGCAAGAGGCAACCACACATTGATGTTTCTTTCCCTCTCTTTCTCCCTCCTTCCCCTCTCCCTAAAAATAAATAAATAAAATCTTTAAAAAATATAAAATTCTTTAAAAAAAAAAACAACCTTCTGACATCTCATTTCATATTCTCCATATACAGTGGTTTTCTGTTCCTTTTTTTTCTACCATCATACTCATACCTACTATTTTCTTTTTTCTTTAAAGATTTTATTTATTTATCTTTAGAGGAGGAAGGAAGGAGAGAGGGAGAGAACTGGCCTGCAACCCAGGCATGTGCCCTGACTGGGAATCGAACCGTGGTTGCTTGGTTCCCAGGCCCGCGCTCAATCCACTGAGCTACACCAGCCAGGGCCATACCTACTATTTTCTTTGGGCCTCTTTTATGCCTTGTGTTTCTGTTTTATCTTTCTCATATTATCTATTATACTTGTTTAAAATTATTCATCTGTCTCAATACTTCTGCTTTAGATATTGTATGTCATGCAGTGTGGAAGGCAGCCTCCAATATAGCAGCCAACAATCCATGCCTCCTGTATAGTTCCCTCCAATGTTGCACTAGGGTTGGTCTGTGTGACCAAGAAAACATCACAGCAGAAGTGATGGAATGTCACTTCTGAGGTTCAGTTATAATAGACACTGTGGTTCTGTCTTCATTATAGTCTCTCACCTGTTTGTTGGGACCATGTGCTGTGAGGAGGCCCGTGGAAAGGCTCAGGTCTCCTCCCAACAGTCCCATAAGTGTGCCATGTTCAAAGTGGGCCCTTCCGTCAAGTCAGGCCTTCAGCTGACTGCAGTCTTGGCTCACAACTTGATTGAAACCTCAGAAGAGACCCTGGACCACTGGGTTCAACTGCCCCCAAATTTCTGACCCTCAGAAACTGAGAAAATTTATTTATTGTTTTAAGCTACCAAGTTTGGGGGGTAATTTGTTATGCAGTAATATATAATACATCCAGTTTATTTTTCTCTGGAGGTAGTTATACTGTCTCAGTGTGTAGTTATTTTGGTGCTGAGCACATATTTCCCCGATGTGAGCAGCTGTTCTGGCTGGTAAAACATCTTAAGGGAAAGCTGAAGGCCAGACTCAACTCTGCTCAATCACCTGGACTTCAAGGGATTGGGGGATGTGTGGGGAGATAAGTCAGAGATCGGACAGTCCCAGGTACCGCAGAAACAGAGGTCTCGGTCCCATCTGCTATCACACCACCTGACAATTCCTATGGCAGGGGTTTCATCTTTAAACCCTCGGATGAGGCCATCTCCCCAGGTGTCACCACCAGCAGGGTGTTTGGTGCCCTGACGCTAGTCCCTCAGACACCTGTACTCATGGCTGGGATGATTTCTGCAGTGATGGGGCAGACGAGGGCCTTCTCAAGGCAACATGGGGGAGAGGTAAGAGCCAGAACTTAAATCTCTAACCTATCCTGTATTTGCTACCTCCGGCCACCTACCGCTCAAAATGCTGGCCAGTTAAAGACAATCTTCCATTTCCTTACAGGTCTTCACAGCTGTGCCGGTTTCTGGAACTTCCGTTTCCCTCTGCGGTTTCTCCAGGATTCCTTCCGGGCAAGGGAATTGGTGGTTTGCGCTGTTTGCCATCTTGGCAGGAACCAGATGTCCCAGCTCGGTATCCTCAGGGACTAATAGAGTTTTCTGCCTTTCAGGGTTATCTCAGCCTCCTATTCACAGAAAGCACCCCTCTGGTTCTCAGAGGTCCCAAGTTGCCATACACGGAATTGACTTGTATTGCCCCACAAATACATGAGGTCATTAATCATAGAATGCACTCAGAAGGGTGTCAGCTGGTTCCTGAAGGTGGGGAACACTTCAGATCCTCAGAGGGCCAGATACCCCAATATCTTAAATGCTCCTTGGTATATGTATGTGGGGCTACCTGTGCCCCTTGTATGGACTTGTTAGACCCACAGTCTTGGAGCACCCCGGACACAGAATGGTCTCGTCTGGCTCTTCCGGTGACTGAGCCCTTATCTGAGGAATGGTCAGCTTCCCCTCCAATATTGGGGTGTGATGGGAGCCTTTTAAGGGTTAGTTCCAGCTTTACATGGTATTCTTGGGGAGACATAAGAAGATGACTGCCATAATGCCCCTCATCTCTGTTAACATTGCCCTGTGCAGCAATTTCTGGCCAGAACCCAGCACAGCAAGGCCGCCGCCTGTAGGACCCCAGTTACCCTACCTGTTATTTGCCACATCCTCCTGGACAACAGCATCTGACCTGTGACACGATCTACCTTCGGAGAATGTACGTGGGAAAAAGGACTTTCTTTTAGTGATTAACTTCTAAATAAGTGGGTAGCTTCTTCTAGGGCCTGAGC